GAAGGATCTAGAGAAGATCGCTTCTTCAAGCCTCTGGTAGTTTGACGATCCTTGGCATTCCTTGGCTTGTAGCTGCATCACTCCAATCTCTGCCTCCATCTTTATATGGCCTTCTTCCCTATGTGTGTCTTTTCTCTGTCTCCCTGTGTCCAATCTCCCTCTCCTTCCTCTTACAAAGACACCAGTCATTGAATTTAGAGCCCACACTACTCCAGTATGACCTTGTCTCAATTTGGTTCCATCTGCAAAGACACTGTTTCCAAATAGGTCATATTTACAAGTACCAACGGGTTAGGACATATCTTTCTGGGGGACACAATACAACTCACTACACTTAGTAAAATAAAGGCAGTGATTAGAGATTATTTTGTGATTTATGTTACTCTAAGAGACACATATTTATCATAGGAGAAAAGCAGGGCACTCCCATCTGCTTCTCTTACCTGCTTTGTTTAACTATCCACTGCTGAAGGACATCTGAGCTAATTCCAGTTTGGAATTATTACAAATTTGCCATTTTAATGTTTTCTGTTTTGTGTTTCTCTGTTCCTCTTTTCTTGCCTTCTTGTGGGTTACTTGAACATTAAAAAAAAATTCCATCCTGGTTTAGTTATAGTGTTTTTGAGTGTATTGCTTTGAATCATTTTCTTAGCATTTGTTCTGGCATTATAATATACATATGTAACTTATCACAGTCTACTGCTATCAGTGTTTTACCACTTAAGAGTCGAGTGTGGATATCTTACTTCTATTTAGGTCCTTTTACCTTCCACACTTTTAAATATCATCTTGATTATCAGATGGTGTTGGAATTTTTGTTTCAATCATCAAATATTATTTATCTAACTCATAAGGAGGATAGTTATTGTATGTGTCCCTATCTCTGTTCTTCTCATTGTTCTTTCTTCTTTTCTGGTGTTTCAGGATTCCTTATCATTTCCTTTCTGTCTAAAGAACTTCCTTTAGCTATTCTTTAATGGTAGGTCTGCCAGTGTCAAATTCTTTAAGTTTTCCTTCATCTGAGAATATACTTATTTCCCCTTCATTCCTGAAGGATAATTTTGCCGGGTATATAATTCTGCGCTGACAGTTCTTTTCTTTCAGCACTTGAAAAATGTCTACTTCTTCCGGCCTCCATGGTTTCAGATGAGAAAGCCACTGTCATTTGAATTGGTGTTCCCCTATAGATAATACGAGGTTTCTCTGTGGTGCTTTCAGGATTTTTTTCTTGGTCTTTGGTTTTCAGAAGTTTAATTCCGATGTGTCTTGATGTGGATTTCTTTGGGTTTATCCTTGTTAGATAAGAAAAAAACAAACAAGTAAGCAGACCAATTAAGCAATCTCCACTTTCACTAAATTTGGGGAGTTTTTGGCCATTATTTCTTCAACCACACTCTTCAGGTCCCTTCTGGGACTCTGCTGATATGAACGTTGGATCTTTTGTTATTGTCCTACAGGTCCCTCAGGCTCTAGTCATTAGTTTTTTTGTTTCAATTTTCTCTGTTCAGATTGAGTAAATTCTATTGGTCTGTCCAAGTTCACTGATTCTATTTTCTCTCTCATCTCCTTTCTACTCTGAACCCATTTGGCAACTTTATTTTTGTTACTGTATTTTTCAGTTCTATAACTTTCATTTGATTCTTTTTTATAACTTCTATTTCTCTGCTGAAATTTTTTTTCATTTTTAACTTGTTTCAAGAGAATTTGTAATTGCTTGTTGAAGTATTCTTATGACAGCTGCTTTAAAATCCTTGTCAAATAATTCTCTGATTAATCTTGGTGCTGGCATCCACTGTCTTTTCTCACTGAAGTTGTGATTGTCCTGGCTCCTGGTATGACAGGTGATTTTCAATTGTATCCTGGACATCTTGGCAATTACGCTAGGAGACCCTGGGTCCTATTATTTTAGCAGGCAGTCACCCTGTTTAGGTTTAGCTTGCAGGTCCTAGCCTATTTTTGTGGGTTGTGGTTCCAAGGACAAGGTAATTTTCGCAGACTTTGTGGTGCTATTTTGGTGTGCTTACTTTATCTGGTGCTACTGGGGCTCCCACTGATCCCTGCTGCCTGAGGGGATCAAAGGAGTTTTCCAGGTTGGGCTCTCTGGTGTCTCTGAGCACGAGGACAGAGACTTTCTGAGCTAGGCACTTGCTGTGTTGAGATTTCCCTTGCCAGTGGCCCCAGCCACCTGGTATCTCAGTGTGGGTGGGAATTCTCAGATCCAGTGGGGAAGAAGAGTGTTTTTCAAGCAGGGGCTTGTTGTAGTGGGACCCTCCCCTAAGTGCTAGTGCTGTCAGGTCACCCAACATCTTTCAGTGGAGGAAGGCTCTTAGGTCAGGCACTTAGGAAAGCGCTTCCCCCAGCTGCTACTGTCAGTGAGCATCCAATCAATCCCTCTTGCTGGTGCTGCTGACTAACCTGGTGTTAGTGGGGCTCTCATTTGACCTGGGCCATCTTCTATTGCTAGGCTGGGCACTGGGAAACTCTGGGCATAGGTCATCTTCTTTGGCTGGCAGGGGGTTGTAAGACACCCTACTACTATTTGTTCCAGCCTGGGGCCCCTAATCAGTTCACCATTTTTCCTCCATCTTTCACAGTTTTGGTTGTCTCTTACATTATTTTCAGGGTTTATAGTTGTCTTAGTAGGGAGGAGTAGGGACAAACAAATCTATACCATCTTGTCCAGACCAGAAATTCCAGCACATCACAGTACCCAGTTTTGACATTTCCTAGGGAAGTATGGCAGCAGCAATAGCTACAACGATGAGCTCGAACATGCTGGCAATTCTGAGTATGAAGCAGGAACAGGCAATGTTTCATTCAGTTGTACATGGGTTCACCTTAACTCAACAGCCAGCCTCTAACAACAACAACAAATGATGAAAGACTGAGAAACCCTCGCTGACAGATAAAGCCCAAATTCCTTGGCACACTGTTCAAGCCCATTATGTTCCGACTCCTGCCTTTTTCCCCAGCCTCACTTACCAGCCACAGCCTATGTCCACCTGTAAGAAACTACTTACAGGATCCCCCAAATGCTATGCTTTCTTGTCCATCCTTGTCTATGAGCTTTCCTGTGCATTCCTGTTCTTCCCCACCTGAAGAACACTTACTCTTCAAACTTAGCCAAAACTCCCTTTCTCTGTACCATCTCTGACCTCAGCAGTTACTCCTTTCTTTCCTGGGAAGCCAACAGCACTTTGTGGTTTAAGCACTTACGTAAATACTTTAATTCTCTACTAGATTGTAGAGGGGCCATGACCACATTCTGCATAGTTCATCTTTGCCCAAGTGCCTATCCCATGTTAAACGCCTGATGAATAAAATCAGACCCTCTGAGATTCATGAAAAGCAAACCAAATTAAGGGAGAAATACGCTTTGCCAACGTGATATAAAGGAAAAATTAAAATAAGATTTATTTCTGATTCTGGTAAGGATATGCAGGTTCTAAGGAGAACGAGAAAACCAAGGTCTTTGTTTTTATTCCCCGAGATCTGTCCTTTGAGCATGTGTTCAATATTCTATTGCTGGCTCCATCTTTGAGGATGATAACAAAAGTTAAGTCATTTAGTAGAGGGAGTTATTTATAACCTTGTCTTCTGAACAAATTTTCCACAGCTAGCAAAATCAAACTTCAAAGAAATTGTTCTGTTGCATAGAGACCACCAATGAACTCCCTCCATGCTTCAGCCCAAGGCTGCCTACAGCTTTAGTCTTCTGACAAAATGAATGAGTCCCATCTTTCCCCTAAGTTCCAGCTGCATTACATTAAGCCACTGAAAAGGAAAGGACTTTCTCCTATATCCTGTCAACCACCAACCACCTAGGGAACCAGTGAATAATGAAAGGAGCTCTCAGTATGCGAACTTGGCTTCTTCAGACTGAATGCATTTTTATATTAGATGAAATTGAAAAAAAAAAATTTTAAGGCAACATTGATTCTACCTACGTGATATTACCAAGGAAAGCATTATACCATTTGTGCTTTGGGAGCGTTGGGACAGGAGCACAAAATCAAGCTGGTGATAGTCCAGAAGGCTCACCTGTCCACGCCGCACCTCTACCGCCATTCTCTCCAACAGGGTGCCTGAGCAACCTTTTGTTTCTGGTGCACGAATAAGGCTGCTAGCCCTGTTTTACTTGTTAAGTTCAAAGGTGCTTGGGAAGATAGCTTCCATTGTTTCTTTAAAAAAAAAAAAAAGTGAATAAAAAAGGTCTTAGGTGCTTGTCATAAGCTACTATACTCAGGCAGAGAGAATACTGACCATGGCCAGCAACCAGATCAACATGTTTCCAAAGGTGAATATTTTAAAAATATTAGACTTTTGTCCCAGTAACTTGGAAAATCAAAAGGAATTCACATATTGAAATAAGATATTATTATACAATTAAAGAATTTTCTGCTTCAGAAGATAAGACTCTCACAATAATAAACTAAAACATTAAAAACATCTAATTCTTGATGGGGACAGAGAAGGACAGATTTTTACATGAGCTTGAGCAATGGGAAACAGGAAAAGATTGTTCTCTGCAAATGGTGTGATTTCATTAAGGAATACAACAGATCCTTTATCTGTGAGTAAATTAATTAACCTATTCTGTGATCACCATTACAGTAGCCTTAACAGTGTGAACAAATTTGGATTTCCTCGGTCCCCCTTCTTTATGAGCCTCCGAATGTACCTGGCAGCCCTGAGGTATTCCTCTCACTCAAGTGCTGGCATCTTAACTCAGGCCAGAGTCCAAGGGTAAGCCTCTAGTCTCACCACACAGCATCTAAAGCTCTGTCTTTATGTGGCAGTGTTTCACGCCCAGCAATGCAAAGAGCAGGCACAAGCATCATTTAAAACAGTATTTTGAACATGTTTCTGACCACAACTTTTGGTAAGATGAATTTACATTGTGATCCAGTATACACGTGTGCAAAGGTGTGCATACACACTCGTAAGCAAGTTATTCTATGTATGGTGCACTCTAATAATTTCTCTTCTACTCTATTTCATTTACTTTAATGCTAGTTTTTATCCACTAAATTGATTTCAGATTTCATTAATGGGTCTTGATCTGTAGTTTGAAACACTAGTGATGTACAGTGCTCTCATATTCTAGGACTTATATTCCTTAAGTTAATCAATTTGGAATTGCAAAATTCTAAGAAAGAGAAACAGAAATGTCGATAGGAATACCAAAAAGAGGATTTCTCTTCCATGCCACATACCAAATGTGAAGAGCTGAAACTCATTCTAAAGAACTGGTGGACACATGAGTCATAACCAGTTGGAACATGTATAAACACAGGTTAATGTTTTTGAAGGAGCTCAAACGAAGAGGGAAAGGTACTTACTGGAAGCCAGCCAACCTGCACAGAGGCAATAGGAGACCTTTATATCAGTGCTGCGACACAATCTCATCTTCCTTTTGCTAAAAAAAATAATTATAAGATTCTCAGGGATGGAACCTAAAACGTCAAACTGCTTTCTCTTGTCAGATGCCAAAAGTAAACCAGCATCTCCTTGGAAAATCTAAGCAGACTTTGGTACTATCTAAAATAGCTAACTTAAATCAGAAGCAGAGGAAAAAAAGATTCACTGAAATGTTTAACTTTCTCTGTCTTTTTTAAAAAATGGTTACTTGAATTTTATTAGCCAAGGAACAGCAGCTGGAGAGGAAAAAACAAACAAAAAAATACATCTTAAAAATCCTTAAGTACATCATATATTTATAACTTAAGTATCTTATTATAAAGGCCACTCACTATCCATCAGCTCATTAAATGTAGCAGCTTCCAAAGCCACTGATGTCATAGGCCTACTTGTCCAGTAAATTAACATCTGCTGTCCTTTGGCCCTGGAGACTGTCTTCTACATCTGACTTTAGTCACTGCGTTGGCATAAGAGGATGCTGCTCAGTAGTTTGAGGTGATTTTCTCCTGGAAAACTTCCAACTTGCTAGTTCAGCTGACGCAGACAACATGGGAAGCCGGGCTCTGTGTCTGCCCTCATCTCTGCAAACACTGACGCCGTGGCCTTTGCAGGGAGCGCGCTCCCGTCTAGGCAGAGGTGGGTCCTGAACTCTCCTCCCTCTTGGCAGAGAGCTTGTCACCAGCACTTAAGGGGCTCTCCAGAATTTCTGACCACTCCCACGGTCTGTAAGATCAGAAAGTGCTTTCGAACAGGCAGTGGCACCCACATCCGGTCGGACACACCTCCTGGGCCCGAAACCACTCCATCATGTGGCTGGTGTGTCCACCATGTCCACAGGTCAGGCAAAAATTGGATGATCCTCGCACCGCCACATGGCAGATGGCACACTGAAATGTGAAGCCTTTGCAAATGGCACACTGCGTGCCACGGACCTCACTCCGACAGTGGCTGCAGTACACGCCAAATTCTGGAAACGGGTGCAGATGAACCCAAAAGAGATAAATAATAACAATATGTTTAGTTCTGAAAAACAAAACTGGGCATTGTTAGGTAAGAAAGACGTATTCCTCTTAGAATTCTAAAGGATTGTATTAGATCAATAGTTTTCAAACTTTTTTTAAACAGCAGAACCCCTCTTCTAAAATCTAGACAAGTCTCATTTAAGTGGCAGGGTGTGGGCAGAAGGGGTGCAGTGAGCACCTGGCTCTCAGAGGCCCTGTGTGGAGGGTGGTCACCTGCCCACTCCACGTCTGCCATCAAGCAGCCAAGCATTCCTCAGGGAGGGCCCACCATCAAAATGTGTTTCACTTCAAGCTCATGATCACCAGTGGGCACCAGTACTGCACAGTGGCCTGGGTTACTGAAACAGATGACTATTTCATGCCTCCTCCAGAGTCTGCAAACTTCTTATGACTATTTCATGCCTCCGCCACAGTCTGCAAACTTCTTCGCTCCTCTTCCCCTCACCTGATGGCCTCTTCTATCGCTTCCCTGAGAAAACAGAAGCCACCAGGTAGGGTTCTCTTCATCTTCACACAGCAAATCTCCAAATCTCCCTATATTTGTTCCCCTTCTCTTTCCATCTGTTACAACAGAAGGAGTATCCCTTCTCCTATGAGAATCAGCTCCTCTGCTTTATGACAACTGGTAGTTAACATATGGTAACTAAGGAGAAACTAATAATTAATAATTGGAACATGGAATGTACAAAGTATGAATCTAAGAAAACTGGAAGTTGCCAAAAATAATATGGAATGCTAGATGATCAATATCCTAGGCAATAGTGAGCTGAAATAGAATGGCATTGGCCATTTTCAGTCTGACAATTATATGGTCTACCATGTCGGGAATGACAAATTGAAGAGGAACAGTATCACATTCATCATCAAAAGGAACATTTCAACATCTATTCTTAAATATAACGTTATCAGTGATAGGATAATACCCATCTGCCTACAAGGAAGACCAGTTAATACGACTATTATTCAAATTTACGTACCAACCACTAAGGCCAAAAATGAAGAAACTGAAAATTTGTACCAACTTCTGCGGTCTGAAATTGATCAAACATGCAATCAAGATGCACTGATAATTAGTGGTGATGGGACTGCGAAAGCTGGAAACAAAGAAGGATCGGTAGCTGGAAAATATGGCCTTGGTGACAGAAATGATGCCAGAGATCACACGATAGAATTTTGCAAGACTAACAACTTATTCATCGCAAATAGGTTTTTTCAACAACATAAACGGCACTATACACAGGTTGTACACGTGGACCTCACCAGATGGAATACACAGGAATCAGATTGACTAAATCTGTGGAAAGAGACGATGGAGAAGCACAATATCATCAGTTAGAACAAGGCCAGGGGCTGACTGCAGAACAGATCATCAATTGCTCATATGCAAGTTCAAGCTGAAGCTGAAGAAAATTAAAACAAGCCCATGAGAGCCAAAGTACGACCCTGAATATAGCCCACCTGAATTCAGAGACCATCTCAAGAATAGATTTGATGCACTGAACACTAATGACCAAACACCAGATGAGCTGAGGGATGATATCAAGGACACCATACATGAAGAAAGCAAAAGGTCATTAAAAAGACATACAAGAAAGAGAAAACCAAAATGGATGTCAGAAGAGACTCTGAAGCTTGCTCTTGAATATACAGTCCCTAAAGAGAAAGGAAGAAATGATAAAGTAAAAGAGCTAAACTGAAGATTTCAAAGGTGGCTCAAGAAGACAAAGTAAAGTATTATAATGAAATGTGCAAAGACCTGGAGCTAGAAAACCAAAAGGGAAGAACACGCTTGCCATTTCTCATGCTAAAAACTGAAGAAAAAATTCAAGACTCGAGTTGCAATACTGAAAGATTCTATGGGCAAAAAGTTGAACAATGTAGGAAGCATCAAACGAAGATGGAAGGAATACACAGAGTCACTGTACCAAAAAGAACTGGTGACATTCAACCATTTCTGGAGGTAGTATACATTCAAGAACCGACGGTACTGAAGGAAGAAGTCCAAGCTGCACTGAAGGCATTGGTGAAAAACAAGGCTCCAGGAATTGAATGAATACCAGTTGAGATGTTTCAACAAATGGATGCAATGCTGGAAGCACTCACTCGTCTATACCAAGAAACTTGGAAGACAGCTATCTAGCCAATTGGCTGGAAGAGATCCATACATGTGACTATTCAAAAGAAAGGTGATACAACAGAATGTGGAAATTATCGAATAATATCACATGCAAGTAAAATTTTGCTGAAGATTATTCAAAAATACTTGCAGCAGTACATCAACAGGGAGCTGCCAGAAGTTCAAGTCAGATTCGAAAGAGGATGTGGAACAAGGGATATCATTGCTGATGTCAAACAGATCTTGGCTGAAAGCAAAAAAACCCAGAAAGATGTTTACCTGTGTTTTATTGACTATGCAAAGGCATTCAACTGTGTGGATCATAACAAATTACAGATAGCATTGCAAAGAATGGGAATTCCAGAACACTTAATTGTGCTCATGTAGAACCTGCACATAGACCAAGAGGCAGTTGCTTGAACAGAACAAGGGGACACTTTGTGATTTAAAATCAGGAAAGGTGTGCGTCAGGGTTGTATTGTTTTACCATACTTCTGCGATCTGTATGCTAAGCAAATAATCTGAGAGGCTGGACTATATGAAGAAGAATGCAGCATCAGGATTGGGGGAAGACTCATTAACAACCTGCAACATGCAGGTGACACAATCTTGCTTGCTGACAGCAAAGAGGACTTGAAGCCCTTACTGATGAAGATCAAAGACTACAGCCTTCAGTACGGATTACAACTCAACAGAAAGAAAACAAAATTCCTCACAACTGGACCGATAAACAACATCATGATAAATGGAGAAAACAGTGAAGTTGTCAAGGATTTCATTTTACTTGGATCCACAATCAACACCCATGGAAGCAGCAGTCAAGAAATCAAACGGCGTATTGCACTGGGCAAATCTGCTTCAAAAGACTTAACATGTTAAAAAACAAAGATGAGGTCACCTTGAGGACTAAGGTGCGCCTGACCCAAGACATGGTGTTTTCAGCTGCCTCATATGCATGGGAAAGCTGGACAATGAATAACGAAGACCAAAGAAGAACTTATGCATTTGGTGGTGTTGATAAAGAATATTGAATATACCATGAATCGCCAGAAGAATGAACAGATTTGTCCTGGAACAAGTACAGCCAGAATGCTCCTTGGAAGTGAAGATGGTGAGACTTCATCTCAAGTACCCTGAACATGTTTTTAGGAGGGACCAGTCCCTGGGCAAGGACATCATGTTTGGCAAAGTAAAGGGTCAGTGAAAAAGAGGAAGACTCTCAGTGAGATGGATTGACACAATGACTGCAACAATGGGCTGAAACACGGTAATGACTGTGAGGATGGCACAGGACCAGGCAGTATTTCATTCCATTGTGCATGGGGTGGCTAGGAACCCATTGGACAGCATCTAACAACAACAACAACAAGAAAACAAGGAGGCCTGGTGGCACAGTGGTTAAGCACTTGGCTGCTAACCAAAAGGTCATCGGTTCAAACCCACCATCCACTCTAGGGGAGAAAGATATGGTAGTCTGTTTCCATAAACATTATAGTCTGGAAATCCTATGGGGCAATTCTACTCTGTCCCATAGGGTCGCTATGAGTCCAAATTGAATCAAATCGATCACAATGGATACGGAGAAAACTAGATGATAGTCCTATTGTTGTTTTTATTGTTGTTATGTGCCATTGAGTAGGTTCTAACTCATAGTTACCCTATGTACAACAGAATGAAACACTGCCAGGTCCTGTGCCACCCACACAATCATTGCTATGATTGAGCCCACCGTTGCAGCTACTGTGTCAAACCATCTTGTCGAGGGTCTTCCTCTTTTTTGCTATCTACTTTACCAAGCAATATTACAGTCCTAGTTAAGATAAATCCTGAGACATATAAAATTGGTTTGATAATTTTGGCTTAAAAGCAGTAATGTCTTCTCCCACTAAGCATAACATCTGTAAGTCTTGTGTTTACTTTCTCATGAAAAGCCTAATTATTAAAATGTTTAATTATTAAATTTTCCTTATTGGTCAGATAAAATATTACTCCATTCAATATTTTAAATTATAATTTAAAAAATATTTGTTCAAGTAAATAGATTTATAATAACATGTCTTTTACAAGGGTTTGTTTTTTTGCACTTGAGATAACACTGTAAATGTAAACTTAATTATGCTCTATAGCTCTCTGGAAAAAATTATTAAAATGTCATCTCTGAAAAACTCAAAGTATCTTTAGTAATTGTGTTTCTGTAGAGTGTACCAGCTTAAACCAAGTTCCAAGATCCTATAACTTTGAGTCGCCCACTATAAACTATAGGTTGGGAACAGAAACTTCTAGAAGAAATATCAACAAAAGCCCTGTTACAGGTACTCTACACTACTGATACTAAAGAGGCTCCTGACATTACCACAAGGAGATATCCTCTAATCCTGCCCGTAGGATGAAGTTAGAATTTGAGCCCTGGTGGTGCAGTGGTTAAGAGCTTCGACTGCTAACCAAAAAGTTGGCAGTTTGAATCCACCAGCCGCTCCCTGGAAACCCTATGGAGCAGTTCTACTCTGTCCTATAGGGTCACTATGAGTCAGAATCAACTCGACAGCAATGGGTTTGGTTTCTGGTTTTGGTTTTAGTCCAGAAGCAGACAACTTTAGTGAAAGTAGACAGCTAGGTAATCCAAGATAATAGCCTGAGGTTTTTAAAAAAGGAACTCGCTTCCTAGCATTATCTCCCAAAATAAAGTTTTATATATATTTTGATTATTAGATTCTTGTAGGATATATGGTTTTCAAAGATATTCTCCCAGTTGGTAGCCTGTGTTTTCACTTTTTTTGTAAAGTCTTTTGATGAACAAAAGTTTTTAATTTTCATGAGGTCTCATTTATTGTCTTTTGCTGTCTGCGTTTTTATTATGTTAGATAATTGTTGAAAGCTAGGTCTCACAGCATTGCCCCTGCTTGTTCTTCTAAGAATTTTATGGTTTTGGTTTACACATTGAGATCTTTACTCCATTCTGAATTTGTTTTTGTATGTGGTGTAAGGCATGGATTCTGTTTCATTTTTCTGCATTGGTCATGGATTGAACTGTGTCCCCCAAAAATGTATGTCCACTTGGTTCGCCCATGATTCCCCATATTGTGTGACTGTCTACCATTTTGTCATCTGATGTAATTATGCTATGTGTTGTAAATCCTACCTCTATGATGTTAACGAGGCAGGATTAGAGGCAGTTATGTTAATGAGGCAAGACTCAATCTACAAGTTTAGGTTGTATCTAGGAAACCCTGGTTAAGAGTTGCGGCTGCTAACCAAAAGGTCAGCAGTTCGAAGCCACCAGGCGCTCCTTGGAAACCCTGTGGGGCAGTTCTACTCTGTCCTATAGGGTCACTATGAGTCAGAATCAACTCGACAGCAACAGGTTTGGGATTTTTTTGATTGGACCTGGGATCCATGCTTTGAGAAGCTCCTTGACTGGGGAAGATTGATGACAAGGACCTTCACCCAGAGCCAACAAAGAGAGAAAGCCTTCCCCTGGGGCTGGCACCCTGAATTCAGACATCTAGCCTCCTAGACTGTGAGAGAATAAATTTCTCTTTGTTAAAGCCATCCATTTGTGGTATTTCTGTTATAGCAGCACTAGATAACTAAGACAATGTGGAAATCCAATTTTCCCAACATCATTTATTGAAGAGACTCTTCTTTCCCCACCATATGGACTTAGCACCCTTGTCAAAAATCAGTTGACCACAGATGTGTGGTTTTATTTCTGGACTCTCAATTCTATTCCATTGGTGTCTATTGTTATACCAGTACCAGGCTGTTTCGATTACTGTAGCTGTATAGTATGTTTTAAAATCAGGAAGTGTGAATCCTCCTACTTTGTTCTTCTCTTTCAACATTGTTTTAGCTATTTGGGACCTCTTGCCAGTCCATATAAAGTTGAGGATGGTTTTTCTATTTTTGTAAAGAAGGCTGTTGGAATTTTGATTGGGATTGCGTTGAATCTATAGATCGCTTTGGGTAGTACTGACAATAACCTGAACAGTCTTCTCTAGGTCTGCTTTACCACCAATCTGACACCCTTACTTCCTGGATCAAACATTCTCCTCCTTCTTAGACAGGTTGAAGGTTTACTTTCACACTTGATAATCTGAGTACAGAATTCTAGGCTATATATAATTTTCTTGAGAGTTTTAAAGGCAATGCTGTACTGTCATCTAGTTTCCAGTATTGCTCATGAGAAATGTGATGCCATTCATAGTCCTTATCCTTAGAATTTGATCTGTTTTCACTCTCTATAAGCTTCTAGGATCTTCTCTTTATTCAAGGTCTTTCTTCATTCATTATGCTAGGTATTTATTTGGTGGGCCCTTACTCTCTGGAAATGCATTTACCTTCTCTGGAAAATAAACTTCCAGCTTCCTGCTAAGGTGTTATTGTTGCTAGCTGTCACTGAGTTGGCTCCAACTCACAGCGCCTTATGTGTAACAGAATGAAACGATGCCCAGTCCTGGGCCATCTTCATGATCATTGGTATGTTTGAGTCCATTGTCACTGCCACTGTGTATTTTGAGTGCCTTCCAGCTCAAGGGGCTCATCTTCCAGCACTATATCTGACCATATTCTGTTGTAATACATAAGGTTTCCACTGGCTAATTTTTGGGACTAGACTGCCAGACCTTTCTTCCTAGTCTTAGTCTGGAAGCTACACTGAAACCTGTCTATCATGGGTAACCCTCCTGATATTTAAAATACTAGTGGCATGGCTTCCAGCATCATAGTAACATGTAAGCCATCACAATATGACAGACTGACAGACAGATGGTCTGCATGATGGCTCCTTCTCTTTCAGCCCTCAGCTGAAACATCACCTAATCAGAAAGGCCTTCCCTAGATACCTGAATACGTCTTCTAAAATTCTCCCCCGCATCACCCCTGCCTGAACATTCTGTTTGCTCAGTAATAGTTATCCCAATTTGTTTTTTAATTTTTCTCGTCCATTAAGCTGTGTTCCACAAGGAGAAAAAATGTGCTAGTACTATGCCTAATGCCTAAGAGGAGCTTGGTATATGTTAGTTAAATAAATGAATAAATACTCCTACTACCAATCAGTATCTGAGTACTGTATATAAACTACTGTCACAATAGAAATTTAATCTTGTTATGAAATACAAGGGTTTTCAGAAGCTTGGAGTAGACTCAAAATGCTTTAAAAATTTCTGCTCATAAATGAGAAGATAAAATTTCATTCCAAGTCTCATGCTGTGGACAAATTAAGTTAGAGGACCTTTCAGATAGTGACAGGAAAAGAGAGAAATTCATATTTACCGATCCCTTTGTGAGGATCAGGGGGACAGGAAACAAACTTCAGCACTTCTGCTCGTTTCTCTCTCAGACCCCAGCGATAGAGGATTTCTCCATAGCATTTCTTAAAGTCATCAAATTGCTGTGCATTGGCAGGGTCCAGAAGCCTGGATAGAATTTTTAAACTCCTGTCAGTTCCTTTAAGAAAAAACAAACTCAATACCAGGTGGCATTTTAAATGCCTTTCTTAAAGCAGGTATAATTTTGGAGAATCTCAGAGTTATGAAATGGTAGGCCTCGCTGGGGAAGGTCATTACCTTTTGTTTTTATCGTGTTGGTCACGCTCTCGCTCACGAGGATCACTGTAGGTCAAACTCCCAAAACGTATTTCTTCTGGTGATGACTCTCCCCAGGGTGAAGACAAATGTTCTGCCTCTCTTCCTGCTGAAGAAAACCAAACGGGAATGGAAGATGGAAATAAGAGAAAGCATGTAAAATATCTGAAACTCTTTCCTAATGCAGTGGGTCCAATTTATCCCCTGGCAGAAAAATTAACTAGGCTGAAGATTCTGAGAAACATAACTAAAGAGAACCCTTCCCTAGCCTTACTTTTTTGTCTAGGTATTGATTAAATTAACCTTGTCATTAAGTACATACGTAATGATTAAGCAAATTATGGTATACTGACATAATGGAATATTATGCAGTCATCATTCATAAAGACATTTTAAATGACACAAGAAAATAGATATGATAAATTAAAAACTCAGAACAAAAAATTGCATATATAAAATGACCCCCACAACACACACACACAAAGATTGGAAGAAAATGTTCTGAAATGTCAACAAATGTTATTTCTAGGTGAGAGGATTATCAATGATTACTATTTTCTTCCCTAATACTTTTTGTTTTTCTTCACTGGGAATGTATTACTTTGATACTCAAGAAAAATAAAATTAAAAAAAAAACACCAGCAAACACAGATACACCTACTTTGAGACAGACTTTTATGGTCAGCTAGAGACAGGCCCAGCCTTATTTCTCTACATTGGAAGAGGTAGATAATAGGAAGAGACAGAGGATCATGGAAGTGACATATGAGGGAGAAAGGTAAGGTTAGGTTTCGGGGGTAAACAGTGGAAGTTCCAGTATCAGTTATGAAATGAAAAGAAACCCAGCAAGACGCAAGAAACTGGTCTGTTCAAACAGGAAAGCCCAGGCCCTGCGGGCGGTAGTACCCCCATCTTCCAAAATTTAAAGAGAAATGGGAAACAAGGAAAAACATGGAGAATACACATCTATAACAGATTCCATATTCACAACATGCACACAGATTTTATTGGACTAAAAACCCAATACGGTGAAGCCATTTGCATACCAACCTATGTTCCAGCCACCAGTGTTGAGCCCTGGGTCTGACATACTTGAGCAGGAACCAGAGGAAGTGAAGCTAGGCTACAGATGGGAAGAAAGAGAAGGAGCATCGAACTACCATTCTACGTGGAATTTTACATTCAGGAACATTTAGATACAAACCAGGAAACCACAAACTTACATATCGACTATGGCATACCACAAGATTGGAAGAACGGCTGGGAAAAGGCCCGAAGAGATTTGGTACTCCCTGAGGCCTAGACTGGGCTTCAAACACGCTGCAAAGCATAGCCAATGTCTGAACATCCCGAAGCTGACAGTAATGAGCCAACCTGAAGACAAAGATGAAAGGAAAGAAAACAAGTAAAGATAAGGGATGGAAGAAGGATAGCCACCACAATTATAGTGGGTTGCTCCCACAGGGGTAAGAAGGAAGGACTTTTAATTCTGCCTCAAAAGCCGCTATCAGGAACTGCGGCTTTCTACAGATCAAGTAGTCTGGCTAAATGTGTTCTAGAATAAAACCTATCAGAATATTACCAATGACCCAATGGCCAACACAAAAGCTTTGCTGGCATCAGACATAGGCTCAAATTTTAGTGTCACTTTGCCAAGAACTAGGTTGACCAATGCAACATCTGAGTGACACGATACATGCTTTCTTAGTATCCCAACTTCAAGGAAGAGCACACTGCTTTTTGTGGGGTTTCTATGGACTTTGTTTTAATAACCTAAAGCTACATGAAGGCGGTCAAAGAACACTGTACCACCAATGTACAGCAAGCAGTCCGTGGACTAGAGAATTACGAATCTGAGCTATTAAAGAAAAACAAAGAATATTTTTACCTTTTAGGTACTCAGATCCTCTTTGCTCCTTTCAGGCTCACTATGCTTGAATGTGAGGTAGGGATTGGAAGGACTTTGCCTTGTGATGGAATAATATCACTACCTTTCTACCACTCAACATCTAATATTTTAAAAAGTGCTTTCACACTTGCTATCTCATTTGGTAAGTAGAACAAGCATTATCATCCCTGTGTTAAAGATAAAGCAACTAACCATGAGCATTTGCCCCAGGTCCGGCCTCAACAAGTAAGTCAAGCAAGCTCCCACCCAAAGGGAGTAGATTTCTCTGTTCAGGACCTACTCGTCACTATTATAGAGGTTCACGTGGTTTTACTTAGTTGTACATTATTTTGTGTATTATATTTCTAGTATGCCATATTTTGGTGCAATAAATTGAATACAAGCTCAGTGTTTTAAGCAGACTGACAACCTTGGAGTATACATGACATAAATTTCCTAACACGGTGAAAGCGTCACAGCTTTTGGGAAATGGGAAAACAAAAACACAATTCTCTAATCTGTTCTCAGGGGCTAAGCCCTATGGCATCCAAGAAAAAAATTTGCCATCTTAAGAACTCAGATTCCTGTGTTCAGACTGATGTGACACAGGACATATCAGTCTCCAGCTCACAAATCCTTGTTATAAACAACAAATATTATATAGTTCCTTCTGCTATATGAAGTTAGTTCTGCACAGAAATTGTTTTGACAGTACAAAAAGGAAAGATTCCTCTTCTTCCTCTCATTCCTTGGGCCTCTGCACCTTTCTCTTAGAAAACATCTAAAATGTTTACTGGCCTAAAATTTACATCACTCATTTTCCCCACTTTTAGCTCTCAAAACCTACAGAGATTCCAGCAGCTGTCGCCCGAATGGATGTCGAGCCCAGGGTGTTTCCAAATCTGGGTCAGATTTCGGACCAAGGCAAAGATCTGTAGCTACCGTAGCCAGCGACCAAACCTGGACAGACCAAAGAGAAACATGCAAACTCAGACTGGTGAGGATAGGAACAAAATCACAGCAGAACTCCATCCTTCTCCATATGCAGCCTAAAGCCTATGACTCTGACGATGGCAAAAGCTGGGAGCTTATGGAAATGCAGAACTTTAGGCCCCACTCCAGACCTACTGAATCACAATCTTCAGGGAATGTGTATAAGAAACAATAGCCTAAAAAACACTTCATACTCAGGAGACTTCAGGGAAATAACATGGTGCAGTAACTTCAATGGGTCATCTATTTAACCACTAACTCACATGACTTTTTCTGCTGCTTCATTAGTGAACTGGGTTGGGAGGGGATGGGGAAGCACCTGTATCACTTTTCACATCTGTCCTTCTTCACCCACATAATGAAAAACTTTGTTGCCTTCATTACAAAAGTTTCAGTAGACTCTGAAGCTTAAGAAAAATAGGCCAAGACAAAACAGACTTGGCTTTCTTTTTGTTGATACCCAGTCTGGGGAATACCTCCAAACTTCAAAACTAATGGGGCTTGGAGTCATCAAGCAGCAACACTTGCACTAAGTGTCTATTAAATCCTACACAAAACGCTAAATACATCATGCAAGAAAGAAAGCCCCCACTCCCCCGCAATACCTGTAAAAATCTAATACTAATTTTGGAAAATCTTTCTTTATAGCAACACATCATTGTATGCTCATATAAGAAGCATATCAGCCATATAAAACCAACTAAATTATGTGGCACCAACATGCTTAAATAGCACACACACATCTTGGTTAACATGAGAAACTTGAGGTTTACATTCATCCCTATAAACAATGACCTGTCTGAATGGCTGCTCAAAGAAGCTAATGGTTTACTGGAAAAGGATGTTTGCTACCCTGACTGACAATCTAGGCATGGTATTTCCTCACCTACAATAACCATCTCCTACATTCCTTCAACAGAAAGAGTGACACTTGGGTTTATTTCTGTAACTCTCTGCAAAATAGTGGAGCCCAGGTGGTGCAGTGGTTGACAGCTACAGCTGCTATCAAAAGGTCAGCATTTCGAACTCACCAGCCACTCCTTGGAAACCCTGTGGAGCAGTTCTACTCTGTTCTATATAGTCACTATGAGTCGGAATCGACTCGATGGCAATGGGTTTTTGGTTGCAACATAGCAGACACATCATCTTCAACACATGCATAAAGAACAACAACAAAAAAAATTCTTCAAGCATTTTCACTGGTTTGTCATTTCTCTGTCCCATTAAACAGTAACCTGCCACAAATGCTGATGATAATTATAAAAACAGCAGGAGCGACTGGACCATATATTGGGCATTTACCATCTACCAGGCATAGGTATGGTAACTTTATATTAATTTTCTTACTTATTTCTCATTATCACCTGGAAAGTATTGCTCCCATTTTATAGTTGAGAAAATTGAGGTTCAGAAAGATTAGGCAGCTTGCCTATGACCACACAACTAAAAAGTAACAGAGCCCAGATTCAAAACCAGGTCTGTCTGAATGCAAAGGTCTTTCCAATTCACTTGAACTAGACTGACCTTCCAAATCAACTCTGCCTGAAAAGTACTGAAACTTATAAAAAAAAAAATGAAACAAAAAAACTCTAGGAAATTGCTTTTCCAGAACACGAACCTTGAGTCTACCTCAGTATTGCTTTTACCAATCTTCTCACCAATACCATGAGGTAAATAATTATTCTGATGGCTCTCATTTTACATACATATACAGAGGCTCAGAGGGTCTGACATAACTTTCCCAAGGCTTTACCTCTAGGAGGCAGAACTGAACTATCATCCTTCAACTATTTATAGCTGAACTATGAATTCTGCATGATTTCTACTATTCACGTTACCTCCTTCGTGTTCACTGAGCTTTAGATGGCTGGGCCCTTTTAGAAAAAGATTAAATGCATGATTAAATTTTTCCCAAAAGGCTTTGGGGCAGAGCCTTGAGAGTGTTTTTTAGAAGACAAATGGAAACCTTAGGGAATTTTTAATCAGATAAAAATCAAGAGAAGGCCTTAGCTTTAGCTCATTTGGAGGGTTTTAAGGAAAAAAACTGAGCTGATAGAATAGTAGCTAGTAGTTTCCATTGTTCAGTCTAATCCTCACACTAAAGAATTACGGATGCAATAGAGACAAAGTAGATTAGTGGTTGCCTAGGGCTGGGAGTGGTGGTGGAGGGAGTAGGGGTGATAGCTAAGAGGGGCAGGTATCTTTTTAAGGTAATGAAAATGTTCTAAAATTGACTATGGTGATAGCTGCACACCTTTGAATATACTATAAGCCATTGAATTGCACATTTTCAATGAGTTAATTGGAAGGTATGTGAATTATATCTCAATAAAACTGTTAAAACAAACAACATAGGCTCAGCTTGTTTTAATGTACTAGATATGCTCATAATTTAAAATAATAATAATAATAATCATAATTTAAAAACTGAACAACTCTCCATTTAAATAACACTTTGGCAAACTTTTTATTAAATAAAGCATTTTTAAAAGTAAGAAAAAAAAAAAAAGAATTGAGGGTACAAATGCCAAAGATATAGATACCCAAATTTAGGTATATAAGAATCATCATGGTGTTGAAATAGAAAAGAGATGTAATGAAAAGTATCTAGTATTTTAGGACCTCTCCAACTAAGCAATAATAAGAAAAACATCCAAGGAATTTGGAAAGCTGCTCTAACCCTATACATGTTGGCAAAGAAAAATCCAGACCTCCACCAAAGGGGACGCACAATACCTGGACAAGATCTTTTCTCCCAACAAGCAAGGCTGAAGCAGCATTCTTCTGACATGTTTCCTGAATATCATTCACATTTAGTCTGGAAAAAAATTAGTTATTCCTGGTTTAACAAACAGACCAACAACTCCTTCTTTTGTTGTCATTCAGAATGTGTTATTCTGTGTTGTTCTTAGGCTTCTTTTCTATCCGACATGGAGAAAAGCTTAACTATAGTTGATGTTATGCTGGGGGTTGAGGACTGGAGAATGTAAAATTGCTCACTCCTTTGAAGTCAAGAGAAGAGGTCACTCTCAAATAAAATTTTCCAACGAGTTTTTCTGTGGAGTTCCCAAGGCTTGAGGGTTGAATAAAAATGGATTTAAATATGTGCAACACTGACTTTGGTTTCTAACACAAAAAGTAGTATCTATACTACAAAATAAAAGCTTTTCATCATGTGTTCAAGTTCAGCAAGAAGAAGGAAACAACAGGCTGGCCTCTGATGCCTGTCAACCACCCTACCAACTCCTTTCTGCTACCAACGTTGTTCTGTTTTTATCAGTTTACATGTTGGGTGTGTAGCAGGCAGAATTCTAAGGTGGCCCCCAAGATCCATGGCCCTTGGCATGCACACCTTGAATAATCTCCTCCCTCTGAGTATAGCCAGAACCAGTGATGTGATAGAATAGGTTATTAATGTGATTAAGTTATTAATCAGTTGACTATGAGTTCATCAAAAAGGAGACTATTATCCCAGGGTCAGGTGAGCCTTTAGAAAGAAGGTGAAGTATCAGTGAGACACTCTCCTGATGGCCTCGAAGAAGATGAAATTCCTCAAGAGTTGTATATCTGCAAGCGACTCAATTCTGCTAACAACCTGAACGAGCTTGGAAGAGGACCTGAGAATCAGAAGAACACACATCTTCCCCCAGCCAACACCCTGATTTCAGCCTGGTGAGACCCTGAGCAAGGACTCAGCTAACTCAGGCCCAGCCTCTGGATCTATGGAAACTGTAGATAATAAATGCATGTTGTTTTAAACCACTAAGTTTACAGTAACTTGTTATGCAGCAATAGAAAACGTATATACTGAGCTTCTCCAAAAACTACTTTTAAAGAAAGGCTTCAAACTTAAAAGATTTAATAATCATGACTAAGTTATAAGCATGGCAACCTTGAAAGTTTGAACTTACATGTACAGTTCTCCCAATGATTTGTGAACAGGAAGAAGGCAAGCAATATCCTGGATAATAACTTTTCCAGCAGCTTTGATTGGCCGATTGCCAGAGTCCGATCCCTCACGCTTACTTTTCCATCTCCTTGATTTCTGGGAGAGATGACAAGATATAACTAATTGGGACTTTGACAAATGGAAACCTACAGTTGCACAGCACGTCATATTTGGGTCATTGGTAATTTGCAGAGACTTTGCATTACATCATGCCCACAATTACATGAATCAGCATCTGTAGGAAATAAAAGGATGACAAAGGGCATTGAGCTCTTAGGTCAAAGTCCTAACAAGAAATAAGCACCCACTGTAGTGCTTTGTACATTCTGCAGGTACTCAAAAATAGATACCATGAAGCGAGAATAAAAAAAACAAATTAAAAAAAAAAAAAAAAGCAGCTAAATAAGTTAGTAAAGACCACAAGAAATGTGGGAGAAGAGCAACTTTTAAGGTTGGGTTCAGCACTAGGTTCAAAATTCTTGACTGAAACCAATCAAGGTTTTTTTCTTCTCAGATGTTCCAGTAGGACTTGGTGAAAATTTAAGTCAAGACACAACAGTGTGGGTTTCTGCAAAACTTAATCTGTGGTAAGCAGACAGGGAAACTTAGTAGCCCAAACGGAAATTACCATTTTTCCTAAGATTTTGATTGTTTCTAAAAGTGATCATTTTAGAGTACCAAAAATACTTGAGCAGAGTGACTCAGGTAATGGTCATGGAAGATCATGAGCAGCTGCCCCATCTCCCCAGAGCTTTACCTACAGATAGCTATAGAGGAACCCACGTGTGTGAAATGGAAGATGTCCTGGAAAAGGAGACTTATTAGACTGGAGCCCCATCTAGTACCTTCAAAAATGACAATGAGCCAGGGAAACAATATCCTATTTCATTTTATTGCCAAAGTTTTAAAAGGGGGCCCACCGAAGTGAGTCAACTCAGAAGGGAAGTGAACGTATTCACAAAGTGGGCAAAAGGAGCTAGTGAAAGGGCCTGGAATTTAAAGTTAGAAAACCTAGGTCTACTAGTTTTACTGTCACCATGTACTGGCTCCACGTGATCCTGGGCAACTTATTTATTTGCTATGAATTTATTCTCAAATAACTCTCTCTATTCTCACCTCTAAGTTGTGGCTAATGACAATCTCTACTGTACCAATCTCACAAGGTTAATAAGGGCACAACGTAAAGGTGTGGGTGGACAGGGCTATATAAACTGGAGAAAAAATTTAAAACATCAATTATTATGAATGCATATAAATTCTCAGGATTTTAGATTAGATCATTATTTAGATTACACACAAGTAAACTCATTTTCTACAAGTGACTTCTATACAATCACTCTTCCCCAAATTAGTCACAGTCTAAATTCAGGGATTTCTGACCACTAACATCCCATCGAATTCCCAAAGTGGCCCAATGCACGCAACCTCCTCTAGGATTATTAAGTGTATCTCTGGAAAGCTGGACTTCGTTTCTGGCTGGCAGGTAACTGAAGAAGCTTAGCTGAAATATCTATGAATTGTTTGTCATGATCTGTAACTACATGTGCCACATTATCAATTTGGAACTGTAACCCATTTGATCTTCAGAAGCAGTTATCACTTACTCTTCATCCACACACAAATCATTATTCTGCAATACAAGAGGAAGTGTAATCTATTATTCAGGGTAGTCCTGCAATTCTCTGCTTGACCTGGTTATTTTCTGAAGAATTATGTACAGACTCATAAAAACACTATCGTTCTAGCCATCAAACGTACTGACATGGGTGCCAGTGAGGGGAGGGTATGTTAAAGAGCAAACAATCTGTCAGAATGAGTTGGAGCCCGGCAGTGCTAGCCAACACAAAATATAGGTAGTCACAGGTGCACTAAATATATTACCTAACAGTAACACTTTTAGGGAGGGTAATTTAGTGTATGTCTAGCTTGCAGTGACAGTCAACAGCAAGATGTGGTTTGATAGAGTGCAGGAGGTATAAGGTATAGACACTCATTTCACTGTGATTTTCATTTGGGTTGCCAAGTGTTTAAAAATTTCAGGAAACTTCACTCCTACAGCACATTTAATTAGTCATCTCAAATGAGATTTAGGGTATTGGATTAAAAAAATAAAGATCACAGTTAAAAGGATTCAACCTGGAATGGAAACCATAGCTCTTTCAAAAGCTACAATATGATCCCTCTAGCTGGGTCTTCAGGCTGGTTGGATGGCATGGAAACGTTGTTCCAGGCAGTCACTCTGGCTGCTTATTACATAGAGAAAATGAGAAGTACTTGAACAAGTGAACAATTCGCTGTAGATTCGTTTAATTATACAGCTGAAATAAATGGAGGCCTCATGAGCAGTGGGCTCTATTAGCTTTCACGCTGAAAATAACTACAATTTTCTGATTTTAATAAAAACATATTAATGATTATATTAAGGCTTATGTGCTAACTAAGTAGCTCATTTGCAAGCAGACTAGTCCATCTGAAAACTGCCAAATGACACAAGTCCAAGGGTACAAAATGTTTGAGTTAGGATGTAATGACGTGTCTGTTACTATTAACAACATCAGCAGCTCCTGCTCTAAGCTAGCATAAGCCTCACCACAGCTGGATGACATAGGGGGTACTATCTCCATTTTACAAATGAAGAAGTTAGGCGTACTCAAGGTCACAGGGTCATAAGAGCTGAGATTTGAATACAGGCCCGTCAGACGATAAAGCCCATTATTTGTCAGCTTACTTTTAAGCGTGTGAGTTCAGATTTAAAAAAAAAAAAAATTAAGTCCTGACTAAGCCACCTGTTAATATGCAAGTAGTACGGTCCATTTTTAAATAGATCCATTTCTGCATATAAGATTAGTGTTTGATTCTAGTGATGCCTACCCAAAACCATCCTTTTAAAATTACCCACTTTAAGTCACTTTTCTGCCAAGCACATGACTGCATTCTGCTAACTAGAGGATCAGCAGAGGCATGCAGCTCCCCTCCTGCAGCTACACAGCTTCACACGGGCACACTGGAGTCAGACCGAGATGCTGTATTTCATGCTCAACAGTCTGCACCCACACTGTGTAATCTCCTTTCTGCATTTGTTAAGACTAGGCATATTCAAACATAAAAAATTCAGAGTTCCAGGACATGTCTTGTCTTCCTCCATTTGCAGCCTTAAGTTAAGAGCAATCAACAGAAAAAGACCATATGAGCTGTCAACAAATACTTGTTGATGGATATATGAAGACTTTGAGAACTTGCTGCAATTATCCTTCAGTAAATCATGGAAATCACAGTCTGTATTTCCTGGCCAATTTCTTGGGACACCAGGCTCCTAAGTGTTTCTCTGTATGATCCGTACTGAATGAAAAGGAGATGTCTTATGGAACCTCACTAAGCTGCCTTTGAGCCTATAATAGAAGGAGATTCCCTGAAATAGGCTTACCCTAATTATAGCTGCCACCAAGAACCAAGCTATAAAAGCAATTGTGGGAGAGTAGTATTAGTTCTTTTAATCCAGCAAGGGATAACTGCAAAACATTATAAAAATGCTTAAGGGGTCACAAAGTAGCTTTTTTTTTCTTTCTTTAATTTGTTGATTAGTGGTTTTTAAATATGAAATATCTCCCCTTCAGACCACAGGGGTCACTCTGTAATCTTATCTAGTGGCCAATTATTTAGGTCCTTGCTGCTATCTAAGAAATAGATGGGATAAATTTTCAGGGTGTTTTCTCCAGTGTTCTGGCAAGAAAAAGAGTTCATATTCCACCCACATCTCGCCTAAGACTGCCTTCCCCTTTAATATCTTGTTGGTGATTTTAGGAGTTTCTCTTGTCTGTGCAACAGCCCAGTAACAACATGTAGATTGCCCTTTGGACTCTTTGGGTCCAGGAAACAATAACACACTAAGGGGGCAGTTAATCTTTCCAGGTTAGGCAAGGGTACTATGGTCAAAAGGCTCTCTAAACCCCTGGCATTGCTCCAGTCCCACTCTGATGTGAGGTAAAATTGGTTCTTCTGGGAAGCAAAGGACTCTTCTCTTAGGTCTTTTCAATGCCCAGTCAATAGGAGATGCCTCTTCCCCACAGATTTCATGAGAACGGACCAAGGGAAGAGAGACAAAGCAAGACAGACAAATTATTATGGGATGAGCACCAGGATGTTCCTCTGAACATACCAAGAAGGTGTTCATGGAATTATGGGAAAGAGGAGAAGGAAGAAAGGAGTGGAGCTGGGGGGAAGCGGGAGGCAGAGGTGCAAATAGCACTGAATGACAACCAACAGCCAGCCAGCTTGCAACTGTACCACCAGTGTCACTGCTACAATCGAAGGCAACATCAATGCCAATAAATGGGTTAAATGTAAAAACAGCCCAAGAATAAGCCACCAACTGCTTCGCAGCAACCCCATCAACAATGCATAATTAGCAGAGTGGGCAGTGAGTCAAAATGAGTTCCTACTGAAATAGCAGTGGGAGCAGGGACTTCTGGAAATTCAGTGGAGATTCAGTAGTCAGTTGGCTGGGACAGGCTCTTTCAGGAAAGGTGCCCCTGTCAGTGGCTCCAACTGCAAGGTGTTGGCAGCAGTGGTACTTGCTAATTGGGGATCCTGATTTTAACTGGTTTTTATATGAAAGACTATAGGTCTGTTCCCCTAAGTATGCTTTACAGTTAATGAAATTTACACAAGAGCCTCAAGGTTTGTCTCACAAAGCTTGAGGTCACCTAGCACTACTGAAGTCATGAAGGTGGTGGGAGAGGAAGACAGAAGAGGGTGATGGCCAACAGGAGTAAGAAATAAAGAAAGGGAAGAGAGAATGTCCATAAGCAGAGGTCTTATTATCAATGCAAAATATATATGGTGAGGAAAAAAAAATTTGTGGCAGAAAATTCTTAAGCTTATGTGTCATGCCAGTGCAGCAGGTGGGCACTCCCCTCTCTGAACTAGACCAAGACTATAGAAACAGAATGATGAAAGCCTCTTGTATCTTCCTCTGCTGCCGCCCATGCCAAAGGTAGGCTTTTCTTTTGAAAGCTCTATGAAATTATCCAATATGCCATGTGAAATCAGGTGAGCTAAAGGCTTAAAACCAGGGTTCTTTCCAAGAAACCAAATATTAAGCTTCAACTTCAAAGTCCATTCACAATCTTAGCAACATGAATATTCCCCTATTTGAAGCTCTGTGATTGAACAAGTGGGCAGTCCTTGGTCCCTGACAGTAAAAAATTCATTGTTGCTGGTCCTGAAAACCAGCCAGCCTGTCATTTCAGGTTCCTCAAAGCCAGGCAGGTGGCATTTTATTCTTGGGCCTTTGGGTAAAGACAGGATTAGTTAAGGAGAGCATTTGCACAGCGCACAGTACCGGGAAGTCGTTAATTGCTTGTATGGACCAACGTCGCCGGGCAGAGCGAGGAGACATCTGTGCGTGAAAACGTTACACCCAGGAGGAGGGAAGAAAAACACCAAGAAAATTAAAAGGGAAAAATATAGAATAAAATGAAAGCTTCCCACACATCTGATGGATTAAAAGGTACGATAATATACTGCAAAAACTGGGAATGGAATGACTGAAAAATCTGAAAACTAAGCACAGCAATATTTGGATTCCCTCACCTCCCTCCCAGCCCATCCCGCTCCAATTGCATCTTCACTTTCACGGTACTGTACTAACATCAACATCACTCTGACAAAGGCACTATGATCAATGTCTGATGTACTTAGTCCTAATGAGGACTAAGATTATAGTACACGTGGGGAAATAAAGGCAGAAGACTCTGTTCTCTTTCCCCTTTAACAGGTGAGAAGGAGAACACGAATATAAGGGCACACTCTTGCTCCTAAAAACGAAGAAGCTCTTCAACAGACTCAGCCTCAAATTTTTTTTTGGTGTGTCATTGAGGGGCGACGGGGACATTAGAAGTCTTCAGCTTGGGACTGCAGTACTATAATCAGAGATGAACTCTTTCCAAAATGGGGAAAGTGAAAGTCCTGGAGAAATGAAGAGAAAAGAGGGAGCTAAAGCTGAGGAGTTACACCCTTGAGGGTACTCCTTCTACCAACGTGAGCATCTGAGTACATAATATTGTCTATGGAAATCAGAAATGATTTTACATTAGAGCAGTTATTTACATTAGAGCTATTTTAGTGAGATAAAATGAAACAAATGTGGGAGGGTGCAAAATTTAAAAAATGTTTATAGGGCAATGCCTAATGTTTATCATAAATTCTGGGCCTTCTGAGTTACCCTAGGAGTAACAATATTTCAGATTTATCAACTACTAATAGCTGGTCCAGTTGCCAAAATGAATGTTAGCACCTTCTAATGTTAGCTTTCTAATTGCCTGTGAAATTTCTAGGATTTTTAAGGTCTCTCATATTTTTAAATTTCTAGGAGCAAACCTTGAAATTCCATCTGGAAAACATTCAAGTGAATTTAACAATATGACCTAACTAGGGCAGGTTAAAAACACATAAGAGAAACAAACAAATAGGTTAAAAACAACAAGAGAAACAAATTGTAATCCCAAAATGGCTCTATATTTTGTATAATCTCAAAAATACTTTATAATTCCTTTATTGCTATACTTTAATGCAGCTATACTCTGTTCCTACATTCTCACTCATTTAAAGCTTTCAAGGGTGGAGATCAAAAGGGAACAAGAAAAATGCAGGAGAAATTTTTTTCCTGCAAATGAAGAGAAATTTAGTAAACTGAAATGGCTTCTAGAAAAGAAGTAGAAGTGGTAACGACATGTGAAACTAGACACCTGGAGGATCAGAAAATACTCCTGGAGGGACAAAACTGTATCAGTCTCCGAGAGGAAGATGAGGTGGCCTATATAGGATATCATGGTTATATTTAATTTCTTTCATCTCCCTCCTTGCCCCATGTAAGTGGGATGGATATGAACAAGCATCAAGGAGAGATAATTATTTCAAATTCATCACAAAATAACTGACTTACTCATTTTGTCTTCTTAATCTATTAGGTTGAACCACCTGAAACTTATTTTTTTAGGTCAAAAATGGGCAAATATCAACAATTTCATATGATTTAATATAATAATTATTATATGTCATCCACTAAAGTGAACCCTTTCCAGGAACCCCAATGTTCTGGTAAAGTTCTACTTCTTGATCTGTGTGATTATTAATTCACTGAATTATACACTTACGATTTATGAACTTTTCTATATGTATGTTATACATCAAAAGCTTCATATAAAATCAGAATAAAAAAGTGTCCCCCATTTTATTTGGTCACTATTTGAAATCAAACTTAAAGATCACTTACTGTGTGATACTAGGGGACTATAATCATGGAGACACTCTCCTTTTTCTGTGGAGAAACAGCACACTAGGGAGCACCCCACACTGAAATTATCTTACTCCCTCCTCCACTCCACAGCAAATCCTATCTGATAAGAGATAACTATCCATGAGCCTTTGGTCCCTCTTTATGATTATGGTGCTTGTAGTAAAAGAGGGAAGCCCTGGTAGCCCAGTGGTTAAGCGCTCGGCTGCTAAATGAAAGGCCAGCAGTTCAAACCCACCAGAAGCTCCGCAGGAGAAAAGACCTGGCAATCTGCTTCCATAAACAATTACAACCTCGGACACCCTATGGGGCAGTTCTACTCTGTCCTTTAGGGTCACTGTAAGTTGCAATCAACTCAACAGCAACGGGTAGTTAAAGGGGCCAGATCATCAACAACGTGAACATAGCTTTAAAAGGTCTTTTGAATTAAGAGAAGTCCCATCTTGGAGCTGGAGTTATTTTGACTAAAGATGGCCTTTCCACACTACCAGAGTCAAAAGTGCTCGTCAACCTATTTTGCCCAATCCAAACCCAAGCATGGGTAGCATACGACATGAACTAAAGGGGAATTCAGAACTGCCTCTTTGACTGAAAGATCTCCTCAACCTAGCCCTGAGGCTAAAAAAAATTCCCACATTTACTCAATCATGAGTCTGTTTGGCTATTATGGTAATAAAATGCTTTAGTTCCAACCAATTTATTAAATCATCTACCCAGTTATGTAATGGCTTGTGAAAAAAAGAACTAAAAACGTTGAACATGAAGGCCTTGGGGGAGGAAATAGCTCAGTAGGTGTTCTAAGGAGGTCTGTGACAGCCAGGGGTGCAGAATGCCATTAGAGACAAAATGAAGGTGACTGTAGAAAGTTGCCCAGAAAGGCAACAAAAAAAATTTTCCCTATTCAACTGAAGTTTTGCCCAAGACTGGTCCTGTATCAAACATCAGTTCCTGCCACTTGTTTTCACTCACTATGGCCCTAAGACAAGACAACAAAGATGGTCAGCTATTCCTGTGAACCAAGGTTAGACACTACACTGCAATCAAAATGAAGACACATCTAATACTTGCTGAAATTGGTTTTTTAATTTAAAATAACTTGATACTTTGTTTTTAAAAAATAAATTTTAATTACAGATAACCCATCATTTCTCACTTAGTGGGGGACATCCACAGAGAATTCCTAAGGACTGAGTTTGTGCAGAGTTCAGCAGTAACACTGTTTAAAACATCAAGTCAGTTAAAAATCTGTTTGAGCCAGACTCTCAATCTGACAACACAGGAAGAGTTCTTAGGATCTTTCCTACCACTCTGCCAACATTCTCTATATTGCTGTCACCAAAGGCTTCTGACAGTTGAAGGTTAATAATTATTATTTTAGGGACAATGAGTTCCTTAAGAACCCAGGAACATAAGGATAAATTCAGGTGATTTTTGTATAAACTGGTTCATTCAAATGGCGTAGACTTAATAAAAATACAAAATTTTTTTGCAATCAACTTTAAAATTTCTCACAGCTATGAAGTTCTACATACAGCAAGATCCTAAGCCTTCTGCAGCATCCCTTAATTTGTTGACAAACATCAGACTAACAAGGAAGATCTGAAGCTAAATTATTCTATTTGAAATAATGAGAATCAACTCAATGAATAGGGATTACAAGGACAGGGTTAAATAGGGAGTGAAGAACATGGGTTTAAGAATTAATTCCCCACCATTTACAGTAGTTAAAACCAACTGAAAGGAACCAAGTAATGGTCTTTCTTAAACTAATTTTGAAAGTCAAAGACTATAGGAGGTTACTAATTTAGCTGCTATGCATAGCAGACAGGGAGACAAAGAACAAGAATCCATGATAAGTAATAAGAATCAAAGGCCATGGCTCTGCCGCTTACCCTTTCCTTGTAGTAGAAGGAGCTGATTGAGACCTGCTCCTTCTCGCTACGGGTGGGGCTTCCACTGTATAAACGAAGATTCCCAGGGGCCTCAGTGCGGATCTTCATTGGAGCAATCAAGCCAGTATGATAAGCAGACAAGGCTGAAAGAGATCTGTAGTTGAAAACAGAGAATTAGCCATACTGCCTTCCTGTCTTCCCACATTTCTAAGTAGTGCTGTTTTTAACACTTGGTGAAACCAAGGGAGATAGAGAGAAAGACAGACAAAATGGGAAGAAAATGGAAACTCAAAAAAAGAACTAAATAGAACTTCTAGAACTGCAAAACGCTTTATCTGCAGAAGACATAATTGTATATGTAAACAATTCAGACATCTATAAACTACTAGAAGTAATAATAAAGTAAACATAAGGCTAATCTACAAAAGTCTATTGTATTTCTATATACCTGAAACAAGCAAATAGAAAGTAAACATTTTTTATTTAAATTTTTTTAAATTGTACTTTAGATGAAGGTTTATAGAACAAATAGTTTCTCATTAAACAGTCAGTATGCATATTGTTTTATGACAATGGTTAACAACCCCACGACATGTCAATGCTGTCCCCTTTCAACCATGGGTTCCCTATTACCAGCTTTCCTGTCCCCTCCTGCCTTCTAGGAAATAAACATTTTTTAGATTTTATTGACAATAGCATCAAAAAACATCAAATATCTAGGAACAAATTTAATGAAAAAAAAAATGGGCACTGAAAATACAAAATACTGCTGAAAGAAATTAAAGAAGACCCAAAACAAAGGAGAGATATTTCAAGCTAGTGGACTGACAGAGTCTATGTTAAGATGTCAATTTTCTCCAAATTGATCGACAGAACCGACACAATCCCAAACAAAATACCGGCATGCTTTTTTGTAGGAAACGATAAGCTGATTTCATATTTTTATGGAAATGCAAAAGACCTAAGATAGCCAATTAACATACCCTTGAATAATAATAAAGTTGGAGGACTTACAGTGCCAGATTTCAAGACTTACTTAAAGCTCTATTAAGGGTGTGGTGCTGGCATAAGGATAGACAAATAGAACAAAGGGAAAAACAGAGAGTCTAGAAATAGAGTCAAATATATGGACAACTGATTTTCAACAAAATTGTCAACACAAAGTCAATGAGGAAAGGAAAAGCTTTTCCATAAATGGTGCTGGAATAACTGTGTATCTATACAAAAACAAGATAAAACACTTTGACCCCACCTCACATCATACACACAAATTCATTTGAGATGGCTCACAGACCCTAAATAAGCAATAACTGTAAAGCTTTTAGAGGAAAATACAGAATATCTTTATGACCTTGAGGTAGCCAAAGATATTTTTATACAAGACATAGAAAGTATGAACCAAAAATGTTTTTTAAATGATAAGTTGGACATCATCAAAATTAAAAACTGCTATTCATCAAAAATCATTAAGGAAGAAAAAAGGCAAGCCACAAATTGGGAGAAAATATTTAAAATACATACATCCAAAAAAGGACTTACAACTAGAATAGATTTTAAAACTATTACAAATAAATAATAAAAATAAATATAGTTCAATATAAAATGGGCAAAATACTATAACAGGCACTTCATAAAAGAAGATATCCAAATGGCAAAGAAGCACACGAAAGACACTCAACGTATCATTAGTCATCATCATGAAAATGCAAATTAAAGCTACAATGAGATACTACTACATACCCACCAGAGCAGCTGAAACTGAAAAGACTGACAACACCAAGTTTGGGAGAGGATGTGAAGCAACCACAACTCTGAAACATCGCTGATGAGAGTGTAAAATGGCACAACCAGTGCAGACATACTTCTTGGAAATTTCTAATAAACATACATTTATCCTATGATCCAACAATTCTACTTCTTAGGTAGACAAATTAATATATATGTCCACAAAAATACTTGTACATAGGTTTATTCATAATAGCCCAAAATTGGAATCAATCCAAATGTCCATCAATAGAAGAATGAATAAAGAAATTGTTATATTCATACAACGGAATACTCTGTAGCAATAAAAAAAGAACAAACTGATGATCCATGTAATAACACGGATCAATTTCAACATTATGTTGAATCAAGCCAGACAAAAAATAGTACCTACTGCATGAAATTCTATTTAAATAAAATTCAAGAACAGGCAAAACTAATTCATGATGATGAAGTCAGAACAATGGTTTCCTCCAGCAAGGAGGGGCTGGGAAAGGCAACCACGGAACTTTCACCAGGTGGTGATGGCAATGTTCCATATTTTGATCTGGGTGTTGGTAACCAAAATGTACGCTTAGGATTTGCATATTGTAAATTATACCTTTATAAAGTACTGTTAGTATTTTGCTCTCTGATCCAAAGCCTGGTAGAGATACTTGCTATTTCCCTTTGAAAGTAGGTGATTGTTTTCTGGCCCAACTTTTAGAATAAGTTTAAAATAGGAATCTCTGATAACCTAACCTCCAGTTCTTGTGAATCAAGGTCTCACCTACCTGGGTTATTACAGGAGGTTATGACAGGCAGCCTCCCAGTACAGTAGTAGTGCCTACTTATGTACTTAGTTCAGTCCCTTTTCTTTCCTGTTAGCTCGCCTTACTCATCCATAAGGATGCTAATTAGATCCTATCCAATATATCTAGGTGCTTGTAGAAGGAGGGTTTCCCAAGTCAACTTGGTCACCACACTGCACAACCAAAAGTTGATAGTATAATCCTTAAGTTAAAAAAAAAAAAAGTATCAGTAATGGGAAACATAGAGCACTCACAATGTGCCAGGTAGTATTCTAAATGCTTTACTCGCGTAATCTTCGCAGCAACTAAGCACGTAGGTACTATTAGCATTCCATTTTACTGCTGAAGAAGCTAAAGCACAGTTTAAGTAACTTGCCCAAAACAAAAAAACCCAGTGTCATCAAGTCAATTCTGACTCACAGTGACCATACAGGACAGAGTAGAACTGCCCCATAGGGTTTCCAAGGAGTGGCTGGTGGATGTGAACTGCAGACCTTTTGGTTAGCAGCCAGGATCTTAACCACTGTGCCACCAGGGCTCCAACCTGCCCAAGGTCACACAAATAAAAATGGCAAAACAGATTTGGATCCAGGAGGCTTAGCTCCAAAATCCACATTCCTATTCATTACGGTAGACTGACTCTCAAAAATAAATAAATAAGTAACACAGAAAAATAACAAAAACCTGTTAAATTGTTAACAATGGCCCTCCCTGGGACATGGAAAAAGAAACGTATGGCTTTCATATTTTAATTTAAAACTTCTGTAGTGTTTGATTTTTTCAACACACTACTTATATAAGTAAACATTTTTTTTGTAATGATAGAAGCAGCATACTAATGTTGTGGGACTCGGGTTGATGTTTTCATCATTTTTCCAGTTTTATTTAATGTTCAAATAATGCTTTACCAATAGGGGGAAGGCACCTTAAAATAAGAATTTATCTTGTTTGACAGCAGCTTTTATCAAGCTATTCCTTCTAATGGTTTGGTAGGAACCCAACCAACAGCAGAAATCTCAGCTTAGTTGTAATTTAATGAGTCATAATCATTCTCAAATAAATCTTATAATGGGAGTTTACTGAACAAATAAAACAAATTGTCCAAACATAAACAGTGGTTATGCCCAGATTTCTGCCCACTTCTGGCCCTATGAATATAGATTACTTCTGCATCTCATGGACTTACCTAGGAGTGGGTTCTGTTGGAGAAACTGCTCGGTGCATTGTCATAGGCCTTGTGAAATACACCAGATAACCTGACAAAGGAGACATCAGCACAACAATGTCAATGAGCTGGACGAGAAAAGTCTTAAGGCAGTATTGGTCAATCTTTTTCTATCTCAATATATCTGAGGGATAAGATACATTTTCATAAGCTGCAAAGGCTCATGAGTGCACTGATTCTTATCAGGGGCAAACATCAGAATCCCTAGGAATCCAGGAAGTGTATGAAGATGCATGTGGTTAGGATAAAGTCCTCAGAGGTACTTTATATTTCCTTGCTAGAGGATCTGCCCCCTGTTGAGAAGTAGTGCTCTGAGTAGAAACTCAAATTCAAGCTCATCAGAATAAAAAAATATAAGACTGTAATTCTGGTGAATATTCTCAGGATACGTCCACAGATATCAGTTCAACATGAGACAACAAACACTACTACACGAGTCTTTCTGAGTTCTCAGTTAAAAAAAAAAAAAATTTCTCTGGTAGAGATATTTATAAAGAATATATGATAGTCTTAGTTGTGCGCTCTCTCTCTCTAAATCTACAATCACAGAACCAAAAACACAACGAACCTGCTCCACAGAACCTGGCCCCAGAAGTCCTAGGGAAGGGGATATTGGCATCCTGGTATGACCCATAGGCAGTGGTGACACGGGCAAACGTTGGTAAGGGTGGTGTGACGGAGTTTGGGAGAGCAAAAGGGTTGCTGGAAGCACTATCTTCTTGGTTCTGAAATTTAAAAATCAACAAACTAAAAAAATACATAACCTGTCTTAAAGCTGAATTACAAAATAAAGACACCAGGTAGCCCAAGATTTTAGGGAGGAAGAAATGAAACAGAACATTAAAGCATATGTGGGTACAACAATTTCATTCTTCGCACCACAAAAGACTCAAGGCAGGAGACGAGCTGGCGCAGGCAGGGCTCCAAACAACTCTGGTTGCGTTTCACTTTTTGCAGGGAAGTGTCTTTCAGGATCTAAAAAAGGCACAAAGCACAGTCAAGAGTGGCAACAGATTTCTCCTGATTCGCTTTCCTTCTGCAAAGCAGTCAGAAGCAATGAAGATGCAGGAAGACTGGACCATGGTTAAGTCTGAGGCTTCTAACCTTCTGTAGAGGCTCAGAGAGAAGGATTCATTTCTGATCCTTAGAGAAGCCCTTTTCCTTAGCCAAGGCAAGCACACATGCCGGCTTTAGAAGCGAATGCTTCTAGTAAAAGGATGACTATTCTTTCTTAGTGAATTCTGTCCCTTTCCTTTTCCCTCATCCCACCCCTGACACCCACGAGAAATCTCAGTACCTTAGCAGCAATATACATTGGGCTGGACTGAAAATTGCTCTGAGTGATGCAAGCCAGGGGGAGCATATTTCACTTTAGTGAAAGTTATAACGCATCTTTATTTCTTGTCCTTTAAAAATATAAATCCTAACATTTTAAGTCACATGCTTTATATATATGAATTGGCGTACACATACCAAAGATAAGTATATAAATTAGACTTGCACTGTCCAATATAGTAGACACTGCCCACATGGCACACAAAATCTGGCTAGTCCAAATAGAGATGCGCTGTAAGCATAAAATTCACACTGAATGTCGAAGACTTAGTACAGAAAAAGAAAAAAAGAATATAAAATATCTCAGTAAGTTTTTATATTGGTTACATTTGATATGATAATACTTTGGATATACTGGATTAAATAAAATATTATCACAATTTATTTACCTGCTAAATCTGTTGCCATTGAGTCAATTTCAACTCATAGCAACCCTACAGGACAGAGTAGAACTGCCCCATGGGGATTCCAAGGCTGTAATCTTTACAGGAGCAGACTGCCATATCTTCCTCCTGCAGAGCGTCTGGGGGTTTAGACTGCCAACCATTAGCAGCTGAGTGCTTATAACCACTGTGCCACCAGAGCTCCTTTTTTTTTTTTTTAATTTACCTGCTACTTTTCATTTTTTTTAACAATACTAGAAAATTTATAGTTACATGTGGACTGTGTATTTCTATTGAAGTTCATGGAATCAGACCTTTAAAGACACTACCTAATCTTATCATTTTTATAGCAACAGAAAAATCCATCCTTTTTGTATGTTCAAACTAGGCAGGGAAATATCCAGATTCCAAGTACAAAATATCAAATGTCACAATTTAACTAGCATTTCAGAGATCCTTAAACCACTTCAAAAATTTCTTGGTTACATATGATATCCCAGCAAGATGTAACAATCAAGTGTTATGATCCAAACTGGACAAAAGATGAGTAACATTCAGGCTTAACATTACACAGTTATTCCACACGTGACACTACTCAAACTGAAGGCAGTATATCATCACCCAGCTCGCTTGCCTTTTTTATGGAGATTCTGCCTGATTAGCTTTGGATGAACTGACAAAATCAACTTTCTGAACCTGTAGGGCTGAAGACCAGGTGCAAGGTTGTACTGCCTCCATTCAGATGCTGCTATCCTATCTCAGCTTCCTGTGCAGTCAGCCAGCCTCACTCTAGAATAACATCATCTCCTCTCATTGAATGGATTAAAAAAAATAATAACAACTTTACACATTTTTTTATTATAAAATATCTGAGCTTCAGAATAAATCTATTATTTTTTCTTCTAGTTGCTGTTGAGTCAATTCCAACTCATGGTGAGCCCATGTGTGTCAGAGTAGAGCTGTGCTCCATAGGGTTTTCAGTGGCTGATTTTTTGGAAGTAGATCGCCAGGTTTTCTTTCCAAGGTGCCTCTGGGTGGACTTGAACCTCCAAATTTTTGGTTAGCAGTAAAGCACAGTAACCGTTTCTACTACCCAGGGACTCCACTACTATTTCTAGATAAAAGGAAATACAATTGCAGGGTTCTTAACCTGGAGTTAATGGATAGCTTTAATGAGATCTTTGAACCTTCTGAAAATTATATGCAAAATCTGGGGAAGCGTCTGTAGTTTTTATTAGACTTTCAAAGGGAGTCCATGACCTAAGAAAGGTTAAGAACCACCACTCTAATGTTTGCTACACAAAGTGAATGTTAGGCGCAGGAGTTATATTGCTAACACTGCAGTGTGTCAGGAGCAGACAACTTCCAAATCTCGTATGTCAGAGTTTTCATTCAACCTCACTACTAAACTCAGACACTGAAGAACACGAGCAGAGCTCTTCTCTTACAACATCACGGAGAATTTGTGAACACAGAGCCTTACCTTTAGCAGCTTTGCTTTCATTGTGGATGTGATGGTGGTGGGGTTAATAAACTGGAATGAAGGGGCAGCGTTGTTTGGGTACTGCGCTGGGAACTTTACTAGCATCTTGACACGATGGTTGCTACAGTGCACAGACACTGTGCAGCTCCTATCTGCCGCATCCATCTGCAACACAGAAGTGCAAACGGGTTTAAATAAGCTAACTGAATCTTCTATGTTCCTGCTATTAGGGTAAAGGGAGAGAGTACCATATTTTTTTGCAAACAACAAACCCACGTAAATAATGAACCCACACATATAAGTTGTGTAAATGGTAAAACAGTGTTGGCATAATGTGCATGTTATTTGCATAAAAATACAGTATACAAAGGCAAATGAATTTGGAAGATGATTCATTTTCAAAACAGATTTTTAATTTTAGCACCTATTTAATAAGTTCAAAGTATTTTGACTTCGAGAATGTAATCAGTGTCACTGAACTGTGCATGCAGAAATGGTTAGATTAGTGTATGTTTTGGTGTGTACAGTCTCAACAACAACAAAATAAAAATTAATTAATTACAATTTTTTAAAAGTATTTTGACTTTTAACAGCGTCATCCCAAAGCTGCAAGGTAGAGTAAAAATTGTTTGAGATGAAAAAATAAAGCAAAAATAAGTGAAATAACCTGATTCAAGTTAAAAAGTACTCCTGAGTGGGACAGGAAAGCTGGTGATACGGAACCCAAAGTTACGTAAGGGCACTGTTGACATGTCGTGGGGCTCTTAACCATTGTCATAGGGCAATATGTGCACTGTTTAATGAGAAACTATTTTGTTCTGTAAACCGTCATCTAAAGTGAGAGTAGCAGCACAACGGGAAGAACGCAATCAATGTAACTGAATTGCACAAGTAGAAACTTTTGACATGGTGTATCTTTGGCTATGTATATTTTTTCACCAAAAAAAAAGGGGGGGTCCTCCAAGGCAGAGAAGGGAGCGTGTTAACATGTTGTGGGGTTGTTAACCAATATCATAAAACAATATGTATACTGACTATTTAATGAGAAAATATTTGTTTTGTAAACCTTCACCTGAAGTACAATAAAAAAAAAAAAAAAGTACTCCTGGGCAAATCCATAGAGACTAAAGTAAATTAGCGGCTGCCAGAGAATGGGGGAAGGAGGAAAGGTGAGTGACTGCTAATGGTCCAGGGTTTCTCTTTAGGCGGATAAAAATGTTCTGGAATTAGTGGTGATGGTTGCACAACTCTGTGAATATACTAAGAATTAATAAACTGTACACTTTAAAAGGGTGAACGTTATGGTATGTGAATTATATTTCAATTTTAAAATGTACTTCTGGGGAAAGGAATCAAGATCTCCTCCTTAAACTACATCACTAGATTCTCAACTGGGACAAAGGGACTATAAACTGTGTTGATATAAAAAAAATCAATCAAAAAATCCTTTATCTCTTCTGATTTCTTGTGCTGCCAACTAGAGAAGTTAGCTGGAGAAGAGTGAAAAGAGCTACACACATGAGGAATCTGGAACTTGGATTCAAATATTATCTCTACCACAAAATAGTTGCTGACCTTAGACAAGTCACTTCATCTCTTGGTGTCTCAGTTTCCTCGTCTATAAAGTGGGGATAAAACCACTTATTGCAAAGGGTTGTTTTAAACACCAAATGAGATCATTATGTAACAAGCACCCATCTCTGCCTACGGTTAATTAAATCTGGGCAAAAGAAAAACTAAAAAAGCTTTAAAACTCCTTCTGGAGAGACACTCAAGTCTCTGAAGCAAAGAATTCAGGTATCTCCCCAAAGGGAAAAAAGGAAATCTCTCCATGTGCTAAGTGAACAAGACTGTTTGGTCATCTATTTACTATAAATCTAAATCACAGAGGTAATTAGTAGCTTGTAAGGGAAGACAGTGCAGCACAGTAAAAACAGCCTTGGAGAATTAGGAAGTTTGGATTCTAAACTCAGCCCTTCCATTAACTTTACTAGTGACCCTTGCCCAGTCACAAAGTCTTTCCAGATCTAAGTCTCCTCATATATAGTCATACACCGCATAACATCTGTTCAGGCAATGTCCAACTGCATATACATCCATGGTCCCATATAGCTTTGCTAAGTATATACAGACAATCCCGACATTATGAACAAGATCCGTTCCTAAGTATGTCTTTAAGTCAAATTTGTAGGTAAGTCAGAACAAGTACATACGGTTCTTACTTAGTGTCAGTCAAATGTTTGTCTTAGCATATAGTACATATTTTACATTTCTATGCATATAAAACACTTAAGAAACACTTCTAAACCACGCGATGTTTTCACGAGCGTAACATAATGCGTGCATTCGTTATTACGAACCACCGTATTTAACTCAAATTTATAACATAATAAGCTTTATGGCAGTCCTTTCTTAAGCACAAGTTGTCTATAAGTCAAACGTTTGTAATCCATGGACTGCCTGTAATATGGTGCTCGCGCAACATCTAAAGCACATAACAACCTATTTCACAGAATGTATCATGGACATTAAGCAACACATGACTGTATAGTAAAACAAGGTGTTGGATCATCTAAGGTGAGGCTAAGGCACACAAGCATCAGTTTATCCTTTAGCTCAACTTATGAAAAAAGAACAGGGTAAGAAAAACAGTCCGCATTTATAAAAAGCCTATAACTTCAGAAAATGTATGCAACAAAAGAGTAAGCAGAGAGACTTATCTATTGGAGAAGCACAGCTATTTGCTAGCCCAAATCATAGCTGAAATCGTCTCCTCTCCCACAAATTGCTGCCAGCAAGCAGGAGAGAGTTCACTGAACTACTGAGTACCTCCACGTTGACATTCCGGATTTGCACGTTGATCAGGGAGAACTCCTGCTGCAGAGTCTGAGGCAGTCCCAATTGATCTGACTTCCTCTCTTCCAGGAGATTGCTAGGGGGATCTTCCTTTGAGGCTAAAAGGAGAGAGAAGTGCAATTGTTGGACAACACTTTTAAAAATGAATCCAGGGTATCTGCATTTTCCTATCATTTGAAAAAGTGGAGAGAAGAAAAACACAAGCCATTTAGCTTAGACTTAAGGAGACAATGAAAACACTTATCCTGGCAGTCTACAGACTGCTTTCTGGGAAGATGTCTCTGAGGTCAGCAAGAAGCAGGCACCCTGCACTCTCACAGAGTATAAGGTTTGAGATCACACACATATTGTTTAGGTTCTCTTCCCACTGGTGTAGACTCAAGTGACCCACACAGTAACCTCTCTACTTTATTCATGACCATGATTTAGACATTGCAAACGTTGCACCAAGGAGTGAGAGTATGTGTAGCTGGAATGAAGATAATTTCTATTTTCTACAGAAACACCTTGGAGATGAAGACAAGAGGAAAGGAATTGGTTAAGTATGATTTTTTTCCCCCAGAAGACTACAATGATACATTTTATTTACTGATTGGAAAAATCACAAACTAGAAATAGAAGAGAACTTCCTTAACCTGATAAAGTATATCTATAAAAATCTACAAGGAACAACATACTTGAAACATTGTTAGCTTTCCCTTTGGGACTGAAAATAAGACAAGAATACTGCCTGACTGCTGTTAATACTATCCTGAAGATCCCAGACAACATAGTAAGGCAAGGAAAAAATTCGGGAGGGGGTATAAAAGCTAGAAAGGAGAAATAAAACTGTCATCATGACTATGTACTCAGAATATCCAAAATAATTTAAAGATAAATATAAGATCCAACAAATAGTTCTACAAGTTACTAGATACAAATAAATATATAAAAATCAACTATATTTTTTTTAAAAAATCAATTACATTTCCATACACCAGCAACAAAGAGAAAACAATTTTTTAATACCATTTTCAATACTTTAAAAAAATCAAGTCTCCAAGAATAAAACTAACACGATGTGCAAAATTTCTATGGGAAAGCCAACATGGTGCTACAGATAGAAGTACCATGCTGTCCCTCTGCAGCAAAGACCTGAAAAACTAAGTGAAACAGATACAGACGTCAGTCCTGGAACCCTAAGCATCAAATGAAGAGATAAAGAACTCAATCAAGTGCCAAATGGAATAAGAACCTGACAGAGAACAGAGAACAAGGAGAGCTATGGAGTGGAGGTTCCCTACCAGCTAACACGGCACAGATTCGCCATCTTGGACTACAGCCACCAAGGAATGAAGACAAGGAGTATGGGAAGGCAACTTCATTGAGCTCCCAACAGGAGACAGAGCACTGATAACCAGAGATATGTGCTTTCCGACCTCCCACCCTTCTTCCCTCTACATGGCCTCTGCCGCTTTCCAATAGGCCACGGCTGCTCAGTCAGAGACCAAGTCTGCCCCACCACCACCAGCCAGCCAGCTCCTTCAGCACCATTTTTTTTTTTTT